GTAGTATCATCATCAAGTTGAGGTTGACTTTGATTTAATGAGAAGAGAAATTGAGGAAGGACAACTGGAAATTGCTCAAAGAAAGAAGAAGAATGATACTCAAGTTCCAAAAAATACTTCTAAGAGAAAACCAAATAATGCTAACGATAGTGGGTACCTTCTATTATATGATTTATTTGCTGAATCTCATTATATTCATATAAGCAGATTCATCAAACAAGAAGCAAAAAACAGTTTCCACTCCGGTTTATACAACTCCAGCTGACAAAATGGGAGGAATGATGGCTCATGACCTGGCTGAATTTTATATATTTGAATCACCAGGTAAGAGTATCAAACATATTGCACTTATAAAATGTGCTGAATATAGTATAAGCATCTCAGTCAAAAGGAAAGGAAAAAGCTGTCTTCAGTGATGTAAACATGGTATGTGTTTCACCCTATCTGGTACAATTGTGCACTTATTAATATATTATTCCAGCATAATGAAGAAGACGAGCGGCTAGAAGAAGTACATTTATTTTTTAAACAAATTGTTGTTTATTCTAAAGCAAAAATCTCAGAGCAATACTTCACAAAGTGAATTTGAGGACGATACTCCAGCAAATGCAAAACCCTTATGGAAGATATGGCTTGATCCTAAAGAAGAGCTACAATACGCTGTTTTTACAATGCCAACAATGTCAACTTCAACTCATGAAAATATCCTATCAGATGTCAACATGGATGCTGATGGTCCTACAAGAAGAAGAATGTGGTTCTTTATTGATTTACGAGGATCATTCCGTACATGACCGTAAGGGAACATCCAATCCTCGGGCTATCAGCGGTGTGACCTAAGTAATACCCTAAGTGTCCGTGATCATACCAATTATCGTGACATCCCATAACTATTTACACTAATCAGGGCTTTGATATACCTAAGCATAAGATCGCGTATATTTGCACATAGTAACGCCCTAGCTCCCGAAATCAGCCGTTCGTGTGACCGGCATCCAACACAACCTCCCTATGGGTTTGGGTTTGTTCCATGCCACGCAGTTCTTTGGCAGTCCGTGTTAGGAGACGACTTTAGCTGTTTTGTGTAGTTTCACTCCCACCCTCCAGTACTTTGGTATTAACGCCTCAGGGTCGGCTCTAGCCGTCTCGCTGGTTTGCTTTATGTACTCTGGGAAGTCAGCGCACCGAAACGCCCAGCAGGCTCCAGCAGATCATGTGAACCTTGTCCCAAAGGGTCGGCTCTAGCTGTCTTGCCGCATAGCGGCAGATCCACACAACCTTGTCCCTTGGCTCCCTATTTCCCTTCCTGGCATAGTCATTTTTTCGATGACTAAGGAGAACCAGGTGACCCTGATATCATTATGTGAGCATGCATAGGTACGGTCACTCCAGACCCTTGGGTCTAGAACACGTGAGATGTAGTCGCTCCCTAATACAGAGGCCCAGACGGTGTCATCCGGGGGCATGGAAAAGTCACATGGTGTCTAAAGGCTGATGGTCCTACACCATATTCTGGTAAGAAATATTAATTCATATTCCTATTCATTGACTAAGTTCAAATTGTTCAGACCCTTTTGCATCAATTAACATCAATACTATCGTTGATATAATTGAGAATATTCAGTATGGTATTGCTGCTTGTATAGAGGAAAAGCAACAGAAGGAATCTCAAACAACTGGAAATATCTGTGCTGACACTTTGCATGCCATTTCAGAGAAACCTGACAGTTGGACAACTGCAAAGAAGCTGGCATCATTTTGGACCGATTTTGAATATATTGTCAAACAAGCTCATACTTCAAATCTGGAGAAAAGTATATAATGTATACATCATGGAAAATCCACACTTGGCTGAAAAACATCATTCTGGAAGTAGATGGGCACAAGATGGCACTATGGGTTGCAAATTTGAGCAAACATATCACTATGATCATCCACAATCCTGTCAGACTCAAGAGCTCGAAAGGTAGTTCTC